TGGGAAACATTGGCATAGATTGAGCAGCTAGTGCAGGGGTGGGGCACTTTTTTTCTTTCCAGGGTCATCTGGATAATTATAATTCACAGGCTATACTGCTCCAGCAGTTAATAGCGCACCTCTAACCTGCTGGCTAAGGAGCCCTGGTACCATAGTGGTTATGCACTGGGTTGCTAACCTCCCTGTCGGCAGCTTGAAGCCACCCGCTTCTCGGGAGAAAGCTGAGCCTTTCTACTCCTGTAGAGTTCCAGTCTCGGGGCCCACAGGGGCAGTTCTACCCTGTCGTCTCGCGTTGCTACCAGTCAGCATTGACTGGATGGCAGTGAGTGTGGTGTGTTTTTGTTTTAATGTGATGGCCTGAACAGCTTCTCTTTGGTTCCCCATGTGGTTTTAGCTCAGGTTGAAGATTTTGTGGGCCTTTTACTAGCTGTATGCCAGACGTTCCCCATCCCTGCCCTAGGGAGTTCTTTCTGACCATTGGCCAGTAATATAAAAAGCTTTGCCCTAAGGCAGAGTACTTTTTAAGTGGTTTGCTGCAGCTCCCCTGGCCAGCATACAGAGCCACAGTCTTGCCCCCTGGGACGTGTCTGGGCCTGCCTTTGATGGAAATTGGGGTCCTACGGTCCACGGGTCCAGGATTGTGAGTCAGACCCTAACCAGGGTGGTCCATGGGCCTCAGAACCACTGATGTCAGCTTTTCTGATCTGCGCTGGTTACCCATCCCACACACAGCCCCTTTCTGTCCAGATTCCGGACTGTCTCTAGCAGGAGTTGGTCTGCCAAGAGACGGGAATTTGGCAGATTTCTCTGGCTGTCCATGCTTTCCAACTGATCCTCCCAGCTGTGAATCCTTTGGAGATCAGCATGGCTTCATACTGTTGGTCTCCCGCATCCAGATGACTCTTTAAAAAAGGTACTGGCATCTATTTCCCACGTCATGCAAAATAACAGTTCAGTCATGTTGTACGAGTTGTACAATCATCTCCACACTCAATTTCCCAACATTCCCTTCTTTCTTGGGCTCATGGTGATCAGCTCCCCACCTTCTCCCGTTCTCCCCTGCCATAACCCCCCGAGAAACCGTCAGTGCAGACACTTTCTCCGTGGCTCTACCCGTGCTGGGTTTCATATACAGAAAAACATG